ATCTGCAAGCCTTTTTCTTTTAAAACATCTGGTCATTAAAATGACTAATTTAGATTTATTTTTTATTACCAATTGAATAATCCCCCCATCCCTTAAAATGGCACACCTCTTCACCTTTACTGCTTCTGAATGCAGAGAATATGCAAACTAGCTCGATCTGGCCCCTCTGCTAGCAGCCTGTCCCCAAACTCACTTTGCATATGCAAGCAGGCTTAACCCATCTCACTCACTGGTTCCCCTGCAGCAAGGAAGAGCATGCAGCACTGGTATATAACGAGTACCGGTATACGTGAATCATATAATAAGCAATAGTGAGTTTTATTTGCCAGAAAAGACAACCGACAGTACATAAAATAGGATAGATAAGTATTGCCATTGCAACAGGCTTGATAAAATTAGGTGCCTCACTGATGGAATCAGCCCATTAGATAGGACTAAATACAATAATTATACCAAGAAAAAAAACTGTAAAATAGATTAAAATAAACACATTGACTATTAACCAATCTGGTTTAAAACACTATGCAATTATTCTTACCTGCTTTTCGTGTACAAGCAACATTTACCGTACTTCACTAATAGCTTTTAGATAAAAACAACTATTTTATACTCTTTCCTTGAGTTTTTATTATCCTCCCATGAGCAGGGAGTGGGTTGGATGTTTGCTCTGGGCCTTTTTGAGGTGATGGGAAATATAAAGATCCTCCAGGGAGAAAAGAGGCCATCCGAAGAGATTTCAGACAGTGGTGATGACCCTCTAGAGCGCTTTCTTCTCTGCTGCTGTGCAGCTGGCAAACCACACACAGATGCATTTGTAAATCAGGAGGTCCCAGAACACAGAGGTGGTTCTGTCCAGCAGATCAAGGGAAAGAAAAGGCTATTGAACACATTGAAATATCCACAGTTCTTGTATCACATCATGCACTACATGCGAGGTTATTCTTCCAAAATATATTTGATAAATAAATAAAGGATGCAAAAAAGGATCTTTGGACTTTTACACAAAGTATGTGAAATGGCAAAATGCTGTTTTGTTTGTTTTTTTTAAGTACTATTTCACCTGATATGATGATGATTATGTCGATGTTGGTTATGGTTAACTTAAACATGAATCTTTAAAAAAATATATATGAACCTAAATATATAAACCTTACCAATAATGAGTATCCAAATTAAAAAGGGAACTTGAGAAAATGCTGGATCACATCTAAAAGTCAAGCATTTTCAACACTCACAAATAATACCACATATACCCTCTCACATCCTTGTAGAATCAGAATAAGCTTTATTTTTATTATTGTATCGAGATACAGCGAGAATATGTCCGCACAGTCGTCAAAAAGATGGGCGAAGTGCACGTAGCTTTTTCTTTTTTATGATAGCACGTCCTCTTATCCTTCTAGGAATGCATATTTCAGATAGAAAAAGGGACAAAGCCATGAGGATAGGATATTGGAATTACAAAAAAAAAAATCTCTTCACACCTTGTCCTATTAGGACACGATTTAAGACATCAAAAAACTCCGCCAGCAAACACATTTATGAACACGTTACATATGTATTTGACGACAAGGTGGTCCATGAAGCACTTCCAGATAGTCCATTGTCCTGATAAGATGATGGTCAGCCGGCACCGTTCTGATAAGTCTCCACAGAAGTATTTTTTTTTGTTGTTGTTTTTTTGGGGGGGCGGTGGGTTGCAATAGATGAAGCTTTTCCTTAGTTTACACATTTTCCAAGAGAAATTTGTATGTCGGCCTGTTTTCGATGCCAACCGGGGGAGTCAGATTCAGATAAGCCACAATTTTGAGTCCTCAAAGCACAAACCAAACCTTCACAAGCAGGCAGCCTGATGAGGGCCAAATTAGCTACAGCTGTCTTCTTTTATGTTGATAAACCAGGAACCAGTCGATTCCAAAAAGCAGGAAATTTGTTATAATATATCCGATTGTATATGTCTTCGGCATCCACCTGAGATTCTCAGCGGAACATGTGGACTCTCCAGGACCCTGTCGCTTTGTTGACAAGATTTTTGTCGATTACGTCAAACGTCCAGTTGGTCAGATCCATAACAGCAGTTTTCATTTTGGTAGATGTGTAAAATAGGAGCTCCAATACACAGACAGAAAGCAAAAAAGCAGGAGGTGAACAGGAGAGGGAAGATGATGCGTCTGCCTCGTACCAGAGCAAGTGAAAAAAAAAAAAAAACTGGGTGGGCATCATTAACGTAGCAGATGTCCTTTATAGTCCAATTTTGCAACATACACTTTTTCATGCAAATACAAACAGAAATTGTTGGGGGATCTTTCAAGGAGTAGATGCTTTAGACCCTGTCTACACAGAAACAATGATTTGTGAATAACAGTGATTTTGTTGTAATTATTTTTTTTCCCAGTTTCAGAGTAAATGAATTGCCATCCTTACATTTTGTGAAAACAGCTTTAACACAAGATTTGTGAAAACTCTGATGTCATAGATCCACCTCAACCCTAACCTATGACCCCAAGCATGACGAATGTAACAACATATTACATGCTTGTATTTGTGCTGACATAAGATCAAAAAGGTTACAGCACTTCTATAGCATTCTGGGTCACTTTTTGTGTTTCTATGTGGATTAAACTATCAGAAGAAACTGTTCATTACTCACAAGAATGTTTAGCAACTCAAAAATAAAATAAAGAAATAATTCAGAAAGACAGCATTTCCACATGGGCTTTACAATAATGCTGACCATCTTCTGCACGACACCATCATGAAGCAGAGGGGCTCCTTCAGTGGTAAACTGCTGTCCCAGCCCTGCTCCACGGACAGATTCAGGAAGTCCTTTGTCCATAAAGCCATCAGACTGTTCAACTTCTAACCGTACAATAAAAATACAACCTTGTAAATCTGCGGTACCCCGGACACTTATGTATGTGTGTGTATGTATGCATGTATGCATGCATGCATGCATGCATGCATGTATGTATGCATGTATGCATGTATGTATGTACATACATACATATGTACATACATGTACAGTATATGTATGCTTATCTGTATGTATGTATACATATATATAGGTTAATCATGAATGTAGTACTCCCTAATACATTGTGCATATGTACATTGTATTTTTTCCAAATGTGTGTATTCTGCATCTTTTTTTATTTTTTTCAAGTGGGTTTTTTTTCTGTATAATTAGAACATGCTACTGGATGCCTCGAAAGTCCTCCTGGGTTTAATACAGTATCTATCTATCTATCTATCTATCTATCTATCTATCCATCTATCTGTCTATCTGTCTATCTGTCGATCTGTCGATCTGTCGATCTATATCTATCTATATCTATCTATATCTATCCATCTATCCATCTATCCATCTATCCATCCATCCGTTTTTTTTTTTTACTCCAGTGTATTGATATTCCTGATTTATTCTGCTCAAAGTTGCAAGGCAGGTTAATTGTTTCTCAGTGTCAGGAATACCTTGAACAGTCCATTGTAGGACAAACAAAGAGACATACAAATCTATATGTCAAAGACTATCATGCATGTGCACATTCATCCCAACAGATCATTTGAACATCATCATATTTTTTATGACTGTTAATAGGCAAACTTTGGCACAAAAAGATGTTCACACTTGACAAAAAGAGTAATCAAAGTGTTTACAAAACTGTGTGAATACCTAAAGTTTGTGATAGTTTAAACATGTTTTATTGTACTAAAACACAAAACAAATTTTAAATTGAACACTTAAAATGAAATAAACATACACTTGTTTTATTGCTTACTCACTGCATTTCGACTTAACACCAATACAGATCAGAACATAATATCCATGTTTTCCCGCAGTTATCCATTAATAATGCTGGATGTTGCAGCAAGGCCAGGAAGTCAATTAGAATGGATGTATTTCTGACTGCCGCTGCCATTTCTGTCTCATGTTCACTTGCAATTGTAGGAATCAGATAACTGGCTCATTGGGCTTAAATAGAAGGAATCTTCCCTCGGAAGCACTTTGTAAAAACAAACAGGCATGATGCGAAACCATGAGCTTCCCAAACCTCCAGGGAAGTCTACAGTGTCAGATCCACTTGATGGTCTCCTCCCAGCTATCTGTATCATTCGCCACTTCACAAGAAGCTGAGGTCACTAGTTGTAACCTTTTACCCCATTGGGAGCAACAACAAATATGAGGAGGTATATTTGGAATACAGTTGTAATATCTCATGACAACAAGCACAGCCTGCTCGTCTGTTAGAGCGTTACACTGGGAGTAAATGTTTTGTGAGGAAAAATGTTAAATTCAAGCAGAGAGTTCATGAAAATTACCGTACTCTTCGCATCACAGAAACTGAAACTGCAACTTGTTTTTTGGTTTTTGTGTGTGTGTGTGTGTTTTTTAACTCAAGCCTGGAAGCATACTTCTTCCTCTTGGTCAAAACGAGGATAGATGTGGTTCAGTGTAGAAAACTGTCAGGCCTTCTCTCTTCTCCTGTCAGGAGTATCTGTCAGCTCTGCTGCAGTTCAGTCTAATAAATCAGTTCTGCCAACTGCGTTTCCAGCCTGAAGGCTCTCTTGCCAAACAATACAGCTTTAAAGATAAAGAAACAAAGAGAATTCCCAAGATACGCAGCTTCTTATTTTTTTCCTATCATCTTTCTATCAGGCCTTGTTTTGTGCTCAATTAGTGAATCTAACAGAGTGCTTTTCATTTGGCTCTCACAGCGGCAAAAGTGACCTTATTCGCAACGCCGTTCTCTCCACAGGGGCAGCAACAAATGAAGCCTTGTCTTTTTAAAGGAGAGCATAATGAAGCTTTGAGGAGGCATGATTCAAGTCAGATAACCCACCAGGATTTCAATTTACCCCTGTCAAAAAAATTTGAAAGGCACAAATAAAAATTGCCGCAAGGGCAGACGGTTTCTATTCCCTCCAGAATGTATTGATTCATTGGGTGCAGAATGATGCCTATTCATGTCTCTCTTGTGTGTCTCATCCTTCTGTTTCAGGTGCAAGTGCAACCTGCATGCCAACAGCTGTGTGTTTGACAAGGGGAAGCTGGGCTGCGAGTGTGAGCACAACACCACAGGACCAGACTGCAGCCGCTGTAAGAGGCACTACCACGGAAGAGCCTGGAGTGTTGGCTCCTACCTCCCCATACCCAAAGGAACCGCTAATATATGTAGGTATAGCATTCTAAAGTTTTGTAGATAGATACTGAGCATGCAACCAATTTACAAGTGATACTTCTGGGTGAAAACACACCTACTTCCAGTCTTGTTACTACTGACACTGATACCTGACAAAGGCTGAAACATCTAACCTTCTATTTTGGCTTTTTATCTTTGAAAGGTTCCACCTCCCCTTCAATTTAACTCATAACCCATGGGTAGCATCTCACCCAGACGTCACTTTCAGGCCAATTTATAGCTCTGTTTGTTAAACATAATGAAGTACTGATTGGAAAAAAGACAACCCAAGTCACATTATATAAAACTGCTTCACAGAGTGCAGTGCACTCGCTTTAAGCTCAAACTTTTGCACTCAGCATCAGATTCACAAAGTAATTGGCACTAATGATGTGCAGGTACAAACATTTGATAGAAAGTACACATTCCAAGGCTTCATATTACATCTTGAGTTGTTTTCTGAAGAACTAAGCTTTACCACGTATAAGTCAAAGTTCAATTACATACTATAGATCAAGGTTCATTGTTAGAACCTTATGTACAAAAGTTTAGTTTTTTTTTTTTTACTTTTTTATTAGCAGCATCACCAGCATTCATTTACTGGTGAGCTTTATTTTTGTTCCTGCATGAAATTTATGCAATTGAATACTCAGCAATAGGATAACACCAAATTTGGTACCGCTATCTCAACTCTATTACAAGTGTGAACAAGGTATCTCTGAGGCAGAAGGTGCTCTTTTGCATTATCCCCATTATAATCTTGGACAGGAGTTAAGTCACATTTATCAAATCCCATGCCTGGGGCCGGAAAGCTCATTGCCTCAATAAATCTCACACAAGCCACTCAGGGTTGTAGCAGTAGATGGCCAGGCGTGGCCAGATGGCAGAAGATCTAGCCCTCTGCTCCCTGATTTGGACTTATGCTGTCTGGCAGCAGTCCTTTTGGAGTGACGGCACATTTTTCAGTCGCTCATTCTTGATTCTCAAACTCGATTTGCACCGCAGTGTATCGCCATTGATTCATTGCATTGCTTAGTACTTGCTGTAACACCAATTTTCTCCTTCATCTGTTGTTGATTAATTTGGGGGATTTTCTCTGCATTGGTATGAATACGTCTCGGATTGAGTGTGCGTGTTTGTGCGGGGAGCTTTGTGTGAGCTTATGCATGCGCAGGCAACACATTTGATTGTGTGTGGGAGTCTGTTTACGAGAACGACTGTGAACTCTAAGGAGATATTGCTGGATTTACCCCTGCACCTCTTCTGTGTTATGAGCCTCCCTGCAATGTGTGGTGCTCACTGTCAGATTGACAGGCCATTATTAAAAAAAAAAAAAATATCCAACACTTGGACGCATCTGCCCTGAACTGATGAAACCAAGGTCTAGCCATATCAAAAGCAATATTAATGCTTGTTTGGCAGTGGCATAAAAAGCAATAATATTGTACATGGAAGTGATGCAACAATATTGGTCCCCCAGGTGTTGAATGAGCGCACTTTTGTCTTGAATTATTCCTATTTCTCTCATGGGTAAAGCTTCATCCCAATAACATGCCTTTATCCATTACACAAGACCCGTGTATCTTATAAAGACATTAAATATACAGCCGTCACATTAAGAAAAATATGTTGAACATGCAAGATGTAATTACAGTTTAATAGCTTTCATCTGTCATCAAGTCTTCCTCTTTTATCTTGGAAGTCATTTATCTCCTGCTGGAACTGGGCAGGGTCTATTACATGTTCATTTTCCTGCACATGGAGAAATGTGAACACGTATGACCTTTCATTAAATAAATTAGAGTCAAAATAGAGTCCTGTGTTGCTAAGAAGCCATTGCTATCAGCATCAGGAACCGACTGACAGCATATTCAAGGTTTGGTTTTTAAAAAATAAAATAAAGAGGGAAAGGAAAAAAAATAAAGAAATATATTGTGATTGCCTGTAGAAGAGAAGAATCACTTCAAGACTTATGTTGACAGCCCACTTTGCCAGTAGCTTCGACTCATCTTGCGTTCTGAAGCAGGTTCGGAGGTTAAGAGGGGTTGGAGCTATAAGTTTGAGCAGACTGAAGAATGTGTTTTGTCTCAAAAGGGTAACAATTTTGCCCTCTATTCCTCACACACAGAACATCTATTGGTTATTGAGGCTAAGGCTTGATGACTTGCAAATTGTTGTGTAAAATCTATGTATTTTCTTTGTGGCTGCTGCAGTGTTGTGCTCCTGCAAACAGCTGTTGCGACAGCCCCAAAAGCACAACGAAATGATGGATGGGATACAAATAATATGGAACCCCAAACACAATCACCAAAAACGAAGAAGATGACGCTTTTGAAAGAGTTTTAAAATTACACTAATTGTTGGGTTTGAATCACTTGCTGATGGCAACTGTGCAAAAGTGGCGGACTGGTAAAACATACGTTTCAGTTGCAAGCTGCAGGGTTGCCTGTCAGCTCTAGTTTACAGAGAACAACTCCTTTCAAACTTGAATTAAAATGCTGATGAAATGATAGGTTGTTTACACAGAAACTTTGAATTCCGGTGACATTTTGTCTGTGGCGGACCTGTTATTACCATCAGCGTGAGGGGTTTGGACCATGCAGGGACCAAGTTCTCTGCAAAGCCATAACTTCTATTAATCAGTGGGCACAGTGGAGGCCGACTGCATAAGTGTGTCATCCAGCTTTCAAATACTGTCTGAATGCTTTCATGACTAAAACTTCAAGTGTAAATAGAAATAACAAGCTGGATTTTTTTAATGCAACTTTTTTTTTTTTTTGCTCTTTTTTTGCAGGCATTCCCAGTAATCATGGACCAGTGCGTAAGTTGATCAAGTGTTTTCAGTTGGCATGCTGACTAACAGGTTTCCTCCCTCAGTCATGACTAACTCTTTCTTGACTGAAGCTGTTGATGTGAGAAGTTGTGCCATTCGTGTACCAGTTATCTGCATGATTTCCACAGTGAAAAATTATGTTATAGAGGTACTTTTGTAGAACTGCACTTGTCTTTTCATTTTTTATTGAAATAAATGAGGACAATAAATTGATTTTAGTGCCTTCTATAAAGTAATATAGTGGCATTGCTGAAAGGTCACGAATACAAAGAATTTTGCTTCAAAAAAGTTGTTTTTTCCTATTTTGTGGACAATCTTTCTTGTACACATTTTTTTTTTTTTTTTTTTACAATTTACAATAAATCATTTTCCATAATTAGAGCTACATGCCACATCCATTCTGAACAATATTTGGTTTCTAAACCCTCTTGATGATAGTTGGAAAACATTATCTTCAAAATATAATTAATTTTATTATAATAGCTCTTCAACCCGAGCCGAATGAAACCATAGACAGATTTGAATAGGCTTATTGGATTTCTTGTTGCACACAAATGAGCAAAATACATTTCATTCTAAAACGAGCCGTGCCATTACTTAAAGTTAATGAAGCTTTTCAAATTTCACAGCATGCAGTGTAAAACGATCAGAAGTACTGACTAAAGAATGTTTCACTAGCTGAAATGTGCAAGAACACTGACAATGCTTGCATGATTCATCCAGGAGCCCAGCGTGCTTGGACCATACATTTGCACAACAGAGGGAAAAAGTTCTCTTTTACACACTTAGATATTTGCTTTAAGCACGCACACACACACACAGAGATTGACGCCCAAAGCAAACAAAGAGAAAACCATTCTTTATGAAGACACGATTCCAGCCGTGCATCCCTGCGCATGTTGATGCCTGAAGGTGACTCCACACACTGAATAACAACAGCAGCTACCATGCAAATGCCTCTCCGTGCTTTTGTCTTGTGGAAAACTCATTTAGGTTGCATGCTCACTGTTCTGTCTAAACATTTCCCCATTTACTCTCCCAACTGTACGGCAGAAACTTTTTACCAGTTCTGATCTAAACCAGACAAAAGATTCAAGTTATTATCGCCAGAGATAGTCCGTGCATGCTGTTCTCAGCTTTAACGACATAACAGAATGAATTCTGTGAGCACTCGTGTAATTTATGACCTTTCCATTTTTACACAGATCGAGCAAATGCTTCATCACTCGGTGTTGCAAATCGTAACCAAGGTAGGCTTTTAGGTTTTGTAACTTCAGCATGACATTACCAACACACTGAACGAAGTGACTGGCTGCTGTAGACGAAAGGCCTGTGTGTAATATGGAAATCGGAGAAATCAGTAGGTTGTTTTGGCAAAGCTCACTTTCATCCTGCCAACACACAAACACACGCTGGTCCTTACAAGGCAGACCTTTTGTTGTGAGGACACTGCGGGGAACGGACCACATGCCTCACGATCACCGAGTCCACAGCCTCCTAACCTCTTTGATCGTGCCCTCTTTTTAATTACCCCGAATGCTCTCTGGGGGCTCACCCTTTCTGTCTTTTTATAAGGTAGGAGGAGGAATAAAGAAATTTTGGTGGGGGGGAAGGAATAGCAGGGAAGAGGAAAGGAAAAGAAGAGGCTTCGGGGGGGTTATGTAGATTGATCTGCAGCTATCTCCAGTTAATCCGCAGGCCCAAATATCCTGTGTAGTGAGTGTTAAGTCGCGTCTGCACCACTGCTCGCACAGCCAGGAGGG